GGTTCTTCGTTCGCGCAAGATACGACCGTTATTATAATATAGGCTAGTCTGTTTGATTTCTCACCCCTCTAAAGGGTGATATTACAGAATAAATATCAGCGAAATTTAAGAAGAATGCAGTTATCGTGTCTGTTGTCATGGCCACAATGAATCATGTTAGACTTGCTAATATCAGCATTCCCAATCCTGATTAGCTGACAGTCAGTATCCCGGATATTGAAAATGATTCGTTCCTATCTTTCCTAATAAATTCAGTGGGTAAATGTTCTAGCTTCCACAAGTGAATAAGCTCTTATTGGAGATATTCCTTCATCGCTGGTGAATTTTCAGACAACCGTAAATAAACACCCGGGTGAAATCTTAAAATCAAAACGGCAATCTGGGACGACGCAAGTAAGACAGATAATGCAGACAGATATGCAATTCTACTCATTTGTGAAGGCGCACAAGCTTTGTGTTCATAGCCTTTCGGGAGTCGACGTAACGGACGAAAAAACTCATCGAGGACTGCCTTTTAGGCTTTTGTACATGCAGCCATGTCACCTCGATTGGTGATGAAACGTTTGCAATCAAATTACCCAGCCCAGCGAACAAGCCAACGACCACCAGAAAAGGTTTAATTTTGGATAATCTAATTAGCTATACTTTGGAATAGCCTCTCAGTATTTTTGGGTTTCCTTACCTGTGTGCTGTGCTTGAGTGTATTTCGTCTGAGGAACAACATCTAACCCATACTTTACTTGGTCCCAATAATGAACATTTTTAGTTGACAAGACAAAAACAGTCTCGAAAACCTCAAGCCTCCTGAAACAAATGTCAGGAAACTGGAAAACGATAACATAACGGGTTGCACTCTTTTGCGAATTGTAGCGATATTAACGAGATAACCAAAATTCATGCTCGTACTGTTCTTTAGAGGAACCTGCTGCACAAAACATTCTAATCATCTGATTGATACGACGCTACAGCTATTAGATTGTACTTCCTTGAGGGAATACAATACATTGCAAACGCTTTAATAGTCCACTTCAGTTTGAAGGAAACCCGGGGACTACGCACACTTCACGAGAAGTACCGAACCGGTAAAAGGCTGCTGAAGTTTTAGGTAACCTTATGGACAGCCTGGCTGGCGAACAAAACATGCAGCAACGACAAGAACTATGTAGAGAATGAAATATAGCCTCAATTTTCTGAGTTGCCCTTTTTCCCCACACAAATTCAGGCCAAACTCGTGACCTGATAATAAAAAACATCATATGCTAACGAAAACACACCTATAAGCACATACGAACGTAGAAAGCGAGTATCACTTACGCAGCACCCTCACACGCCCTTAAAATAGCCTAAATATCCATAGTATACACATTGAGTGAAACGTTATGGCCTCCAACTTATATCCTCCTGTAGGCCTTGCACATATACACAAGCCACGTTTTTGGGTCAAACTGAGTCTGAAGTTGAAAATTGCTCATCAATTGGAACGCGGAACGTCAAAAACGGTGTTCGTTTCGTGACATGTGCGCAAAGTAACGGCAAAATCGCAGGTCCTACATTCGTACAAATAATGTGATATAGTTCACTGTGGTGATGGTGATGTTGAGTCATAAACTAACAGCACAGTTGGAATGAGACCAACCAGGATGAACCATTTCCGTTGAAGCAACATTCACTGACATTCAATGTGTGCTAGGTTTGGGAAGCAATTCGCTCTAACCAGTTATGTTTGCGTAAAAAAATACCGGCGACGCCTAGGAACAGTGAAGTGAATAAAACGGATATCAGTGTACTGATGTGTGTCTTTAGGGGGACTTGAAACTAATCCAGAAACTTCCAGCAGGTTTAAAGCGTCCCTGACACAACCTAATTGCTAAGTTCTGACAGATTGGTCGATCGATCGACAACCAGAAAAGTTGCCGGTTGGACGTTCAAGCCGCCAGGAACACCAATCAGGCTCATTTAACACGTTCGCCTGTTGAACCGTGATTACTCGGTGCTTCCAAGGGCTATCGTGGAGTAGTGGTGACACGGTTACCTCGAATATCAGGTGTCCGGAGTGCTAACATTGACACAAATTAGGATACGCACTACTCATGAGCCCTAATGAGAGTGAAACTCAGGTCTAGTGCTTCCCTTTTGGTGTGGACCCACCAGAAGAATTTTTTAGGACAGGAGGAGAAGTGTTCAAACGTGAGCTGTGAGATCGCGGAGACCGAATTTCTTTTGGCGGATATTTTCTGCGCAAAAGAGCGAGTAATACAGTTTTGAGTACGCGTTTATCCAACCAGTAATCAGTATACATAAAAATCACTGGCTATTTTGAGTCTCTTCATAGGCATGCTTTCATAACAGCGATATATGATAGCAGTGACGCACATCTGTGCTGTCGGTCTAGACAAAAGATTGTCCCATCCGTGGTTACGGTATCAGTACTAAAGACGTCAGCCTGGATATCCTCTCCTAGATAGATACTTGAGACATAATATTTGTAGTTTGCTTTTTTTCCAATTTCAAAGGAGGTCCTAACTGACACTGTATGTCAAGCTCGTTTAACTTATGTTAAAGGGTGTAAATGCCTCATGCTCCCTCGAAATGACCCTTGTTGCAGATCTCACATTTGCTCATCGGTCCTTGCAATAACCAAAGTGGTCCGTGATGGCCTTGGACATAAGCGGCATTTATTTAGCCATCATCATCATCATCATCATCATCACCTGAAGTAACATGGAGGACTTGATTTAATCTACATTTGATCATCCACCGTCAACTCTCTTGCTAGCTTCCCCCTGTCACTGAGATCATCATCAGAATTCAGCATTGTCTGGGAGACCAGGTGTCTTAATGTATGGACTAGCTGGGTTGTGACATTCCGTACATGCAAATTCATGCAAGCACAGGGACGTGTAGCTCAGGATAACAGCTCCAAGATAGCGTTTCCACCACGTTTACCTGCCCTTGATTCCTCGAAAAATTTATGAACTTCCAAATCTTGATGTTACTTTTAGCTAGAGGCTAGCTGTAAAGCCAGGCATTCGAAAGCATTTCAAGAAAAAACGAGAAGTGTAAGCAGTCACCAATAGCCATTTATCTTGGTGTTACATTTTACAGGGAAGTTTGTATGGCATAGCTCTATGTAGGAGTGTAAGTCCAATCTGACTAACGTAGGCGTATCAATACCTGTTAATATCTAAAACAGTAGTGAAAGTTGGGGAGATGAGTCTAATTTGGCAAGTCCCTGAGAGGGGCGAAACCGATACTTGGTTGCTGGAGAGTTTTCAGCAATCTTTTGAGCAATAATCAGCGAAGAAAAATTCTTTGTTATCTTGAATGTGGACTCCACTAAAATAGGAGGAGCATCCGGGTGTACATTAGAATTAGCGAGAGACTCAGCTGATACTAAATTGAATCTCCCGTCAACTCTTAATTATCATAAAAGTGAGTGTGTCATCCAAGTGCGATGTTTTCACTTAATGTCATACTGGCTTTTTTGATAATTTAGCTTAGTACATTGGCCGCCTCATGTTTTAGTTGGTACGATATTCGAGATGTCTCAGTATATCTTCATAAAGGAGTCTGCTCACTGGTTATTGAAAGCTCTTCGCCAGCCCGGTTTCGTGATTCTTTAGGCTCATCAGATAGGCTGGATACCTCAAATGTCGTACTAAGTGAAATATGAGGTATGCTTGGTGCCAGACATTCAATTGAAGAATATCATAAAAAAGGGATTTAGTTGTCTTACGTGAAAACCAAGCTGACATGCAAATGCGTGTACTTGTAGAACTTGAATACTGTTTGTATTCGTAGGACGAATACTACTGATGCTTTTTCGAATCTGCCCTAGTGATAAACGTATGAATGCTGATGAATGTAAGTGCGACGGAAAGCTGTTACAAAATGCATTAGTCGAGAGCTTTCGGATTCAATTAGCAAGCCAGAAAAGCATCACGCAGCATCAAATAACCATTCTTAAATTAGTAGAGTCGACTATTTGTAAAGCTAAGTAAAGAAACATAACTTTTTCGCGTCAAACCTTCCTAAAGTGTAGAATTTTGCTATAATAATTTGTGTACAGAGGCTGCTACCGCAAAGACAACGGATTTCAATACCATACTTTAAGGTTTTGCGAGAAACCAGCAGAATGTGACCCTTTTAGTTAAAATCTAAGTGTTCATTCGAAAAGCTGTTTCTAAGGAAACAAGCCTACAAGAATGCATTGGTTGATCTGTGTATCAGTGTATGGCTGATGCGAAAGCCTCCATTGGTCCATGGATTTAATATACATACTGGCAAAAACTCAGTAATCGCGTATTGATGACCCACTCTGACATAGTTAACGGCAATCATTTCATCTCAGGTCCCGAGAGGATTTGCTATGCCTGGAAGGCATGTCTCCACTGCCCCAGATAGTATACATTATTTTTTACTGAGAAGCAACCTTACTACGAGGGAGTACCAGTAACTTTAAGATATGTAGGGAACCACAGTGGGAAACACATACATTATTGGCCGAAAGGCATATTTAAACGACATAAATCTAGAAATAGGTGGCTTTCAACCTGCACAAAATCTGGATATTTGGGCTGAACGGTTCCAAATCTGGAATCCTGTAAACACTGAAGGAAAAAATGGTTTCTTTTGTTTGTGGTTTGCAAAGCATTCGTCGATTGAAGCATGGCTTATATTTCATTGAGTACGAAGACATCATAAGCAATCGTTATCAAAGTGCCATACATTAATGCGGAAGTGGAACTGGGAGAAGGGGAAAGTTTTGATTGTCCATATACCCTAACCAAGAGCATGGTGATCACATTATTTTCTGGACGTAACACACTACTCATAAGTTGCTGATACAAAATATCCAATTAAATCGGAATACCATTAACAGGCGATTCAGCTGAATTCGGTTGAATCTCCCTCGAATTGTCTATGGTGGAATACATCCATAATGTGGGCCCTTCCGTCTTTTAGTAGATTTAAAAATTGACCTACTCCAACTTACTTACCTCGTTTCCACTGCTATTTGTTTCAGCAACAATATAGTAGTCAGATTGTGATCCCCGACGGTTTTTGCGGTGTTTTGTACGTACCGGAAGCGGTGTCGTCGACTTGCGGTAAGCTCCATATGAAGGATTGGTCTGGTTCTGAAACCAAACGTAAAAGTGGAAACCTGTTTAAGGTCTGTCTGCTGTGTGTGCAACTAGAGTAGTAGTCACAGGAAGCCTGAAGACTTTATGGGAACTGTTGAAACAAGCTGCAACTTTAAGAGATGCAGAGATTTGTTTTTAGTAAGTTCTACACAGCATCTGGTCATAAGAGTGCAATCGAATTTTATGAGATACCAATGTTGGACGCCCTTTTCATAGCATGTCTACGTGGATGTGCTTTCGTGTCACACATGCTCTCCGGATCGGATGCAGCATTTTTCATGAGGCACAAATCCGGTCATGAGTGAACATCTCGGTAGTCATCGGGATACCGTATCCTAATTACTGAAAATTCTAAGTAAATTTGCTAAAGTTAATTTCTCTAGCTGTCAGATTTTCTGTGTGAACCATATTGAACTACTCCCAATCATTTTGGCAGTCCAGTTACATCTTGGGACACAACGATTCTCACTAGCTCTGTAATCCCCTCAGGATTATACAGGCTTGCCTGCATATTTGCTCACCCAATCGCAATACAACTCTCTGGTCTGTCTGTGATTCGAGCACTGATTCATTGGCTTTGAAGCCTAATTTCCTAATATCATACTGCATGATTTCTTCATAAGGTTTCAACATCAATATGATTCTGTGTGACGCCACCCCCCACCCCGCTCCTTGTCAGCGCTGCGTTTTTCGCCCCAAGCATACTTATTCAGCTAACTGCAGTTTGATGATGTAAGATTTCCAACCTGTCAGAAAAATTCAGGGGGCCAATGATGAAGGTAAAATGTCCGCCTTAAAACACCTATATCCACCAGTAGTTCAGTTAGGTATTACAACTGGATGGAAAAGTAAACTTAAAATATGGTGCTGTTGTGTTTGAACGTGCGCTGTAAACCCCTAATTATGACTTCAGACTAGGATAAGCTGTACCGATTTTTACTTTCACTAGAAATAAAACACCTGTGAATTTACGCAGAAGAGTTATGGAGAGGGCAGTAAACAAACCTACACTCATAGGGGCTGAGAGGAAAAACAGCAGTTGGTTTATGGGATCTAATGTGTTTGTAGAAGAACGCATTACTAGATGCCCTCTCTGGACGGCGCCTGTAGATTTCCCAGAAGAATGGCACTATCGCCAAACCCACTATAGATTCCGCGTCTTGCACTGAGGCGAACGGCACCTAAGCTGCAGTTCACAGGCTCTAAGGACTGCTTGTGAGTAGGCGTTTTTTACTAGAGTTGTACCGCTGAACCACATTCTGCTATCACGAAGCTTAAGTGCTTTAAGCCACAACCAGAAAAATCGGGAGTATGTGAGTGCACCGGTGGTGAATTCATAGAACGTCGATGTGCTGTATGGTATGAACACAAGTCAAACCTTACTTATTATCAGGTGTTCTATCAAGCATCGTTTTATAAGTCATTTCCTTTCAAGGTTATGTAAACTGCATCACGTACACAACAATTCAAATTTGAACCAGTTTACAAAGGCTTTGAAATTCTCTGAATGCCCTGATCTCACGGGGCATTGTTAACGAAAAGGCCGTAGATGAATGGACACTGCAGGGTAATAACAAGAAAAACGACCAAGGTATTCCTCCATCACCAAGCAATTTTTGTAGGAATCGGGTGTTTTCCTATTTAATGAAACACAAGTACATCTTCACGATCATTCTGAGTAGACTCTCAGCATAGGATACACAGTAGAAACCAGTATGAGTGCAGACTTCAAGGTGTGATTCATCGACAGCATGCATTTCAGTCTGTTCAACACAGCCTGCAAGATCAGAACATAGCGGGTACAAACACACCCAACTGAGTTGTGAAAATGCATTTAACAAGTGAAATATCCCCGATGATCGCACATACTCATTTCTCTTTATTCTAGTCTAAGTTACCCCTCTGTCGTTGCATGCTCCAAAATTATATAAATATACTGGGAAAACGGTTTACCATTCAACTGAATTTTTTGCAGCATCCCCCTACTTGGCCATCTTCATTTTTTCATAGAGCGAGTGGTACCATTCTAACCAAGCTGAACCAATGATGCACGAAGCTGACACCTTGGTCTACAAGTTTCCAGTCAATCATCCCGACCAGGGTAATACAAGATCTTAAATCCATCATTCGAATCTGGTAGTGGGTTGTTGGTTTGGTTCCCATGTTGACTCAGATCAGTGTGAAATTCGAAGCAGTGACAAGGACAAACGGATGACCCAGACGTTGAAAGGAGTCTTACTGTTTCAAAATTAGCTTTATGTAAGCCTCATCAGAAAAACACTTTTATTTCAGGAGTACTGTTGGCAAAAGCGGGCTCGTGTGATATGTGGTCCACGAATATTGTACTTTTCTTCTCGCAAAATAGCTCTAACAGGAGGACCAAATTGTGCTAGCTAACCACATCTATTTGGGTACAATTTTGTAGAAATTTGGGTATAATTTTGTAGAACCCTACCTAAAGCTGCCACCTTGGAGTGCTGCAAGATCCCGCGGGCTACACTGGTTGGAACTTCGTTCCACAAGGTGCAACGATGCCAGGAAGGCCAAGCCAGACCAAGAGCAGGCAGAGCAGCGAGACCCCGTACTACGAGTAATCGTGCTACGAGGCGGTCTGGGGGTAAAGTCGTACTGTCCTCTGCG